CTACGAAACTTAATTTTATTCCAAAATGTTGTACAAAGTGATCTTACGTCTACGTGTTGCATTGGCAACTTATAATTTTGTAAAACTTTTACTTTGTTTGTCCAGGGTTTTACATATCCCTTTCAATACCGGACTTTTGACTAATTTGACTATTCTATTAGCTAGGATTCCAATCACCCTTGAAACGGTAAATTTGTGTTGTTTAGACCTTATATACTATGCCCTCTCAGTTCTGGGATTTCTCGGTTATTTTGTAAATTTCTTTCTTTTTGTAACTGAGATCTGATATGGCTCTACGAATAAGAATGAGAACATTTGTAACGTTTAAACATTATAACTGTATCCTTCGTTAAGGTGATTCCCTGTAGAGTCCGCAAATGACCGTCACCTAAGTTATAAATGCACTTCCACCTCGAATTTTCAATTACATAAATCTAGGGAATTAGTGTCCCATTTCACCTGGAATTGCTACTGCATGTATGCTGCAGTACAGCAAACGTGGAGTAACAGTTTCATTGTGGTACGTATCGTGGAAGCTGATGTTTGTGAACTTAAATTTTCTAAGTGGTAGCGAAGACTAAGGATCTTACAGCGAACCACCTTAAAGATAAACAGAGAGGGAAAGCTCAACTTAATCTAGATGCGCAAACATGCCGTGCAATGGCGTGTTTATCCCTTGAACGCATACATATTCCTAAGTAAATACTGCAGTAAGATTATGTAAAACGAGCCGTCGTTCCCTTTTCCCTGCTTTTCATTTCATTTTCTTGGCCTTGGTATCGACGTCAGTTAAAGGGCGAGCACGAAATTATTGCGACACATTCAACAGGACATAACTTTTTTACCATTGGGTAAAAATCAACCAAATTTTGTACACTTTCTCATTGATGTGTATTGTGTACATGCTGTCAAACTCGAAGTCGTGTTTTTCGATTCAACGAAAATGGAGGTGAACCAACGCGAGTTGAGAGAACAAATTCTTTCCAAACACCTGGAATTTCCTGACCTGTCGCACCGTCTTCTTCTTCTTCTTATTCGCATTTCAAGCTTATTGCTTAGCGCATATTAGCTTATTGCGTGCTCTCAACTTAGTGTTCTAAATGCACTTCCACAGTTATTAATTGAGAGCTTTCGATGCCAATTACCAATGCATGAATTTGTATATTGTGTGGCAAGCACAATGATACTCTATGCCCAGGGAAGTCAAGAAAATTTCCAACCCGAAAGATTCCCTCGACCGGACCGGGAATCGAACCCGCCGCCTCCGGCTTGGTAATACCGTGCCTTTACTGACTAGGCTATGAGGCCCTGTCGCACCGGCAGTTGGGAAAAATGTTGAACATTCACCATTCAACCGTCTCCAGATTGTTGAAGCGGTTGACGTTGGACCACGGCAAAAGAGCTGGAAGAAAACCGGGACCGGAGAACAAAAAGACGGAGGGAATGGTGAAGCGGATGATTAAAGCAAATCCCAACGTCTCAAGCCGTGATTTGGCTAAAAAGATCGGCATGTCGCAGAGCTACGTCCAGAATGCAAAGAATAGAGCTGGACTACATACATACAAGGTACAGAACTTCCCAAACCTCGATGAGCGGCAACAATCGACGGCTAAAACTCGGGCACGGAAGCTCTACGAGAAGTTGCTGACAAAATTTGGCTGCTGTGTGATGGACGACGAAACTTATATAAAAGCCGATTTTAAGCAAATTCCGGGGTTGGAGTTTTTCACCGGCAAGAGCAAGTTCGATGTGGACGACAAATTTAAGAAGAAGAAAATGTCGAAGTTCGCCTCCAAATATCTCATTTGACAGGCCATCTGCTCTTGCGGACTGAAGAGTGAGCCTTTCGTGACAAAGGGCACAGTAAATGGCGAGATCTACAAATCTGAGTGCCTCGAGAAGCGCCTTTTGCCGTTTTTGCAGCAGCACGACGAAGCTCCGCTATTTTGGCCAGATTTGGCATCATGTCACTATTCTAAAAGTGTCCTGGAGTGGTATGAGGCCAATTCTGTCCATTTTGTTCCAAAGGACATGAATCCGCCAAACTGTCCGGAGCTGCGCCCGGTGGAGCAGTACTGGGCAATAATGAAGCGGGAACTTCGGAAGAGCAAGAAGACAGTCAAAGACGAGAAGGACATGTTAAGAAAATGGAAAATAAACTGAGAAACTGGTACCGGATGACACTGTAAAGACTTTGATGGAGGGCATCAAGCGAAAATGCGTTCAATTTTACACTCAAGGCTACTTTTCTTTTGATTTTTGAAGTAAATATATGTATAAAACTACCCTAAAATTTTGGTTTGATTCTAAACATTATAAGAAAATTGGCATGACATTTTCGGTGTCGCAATAATTTCGTGTTCACCCTTTATGGCTAAGCAAACGAGATGCAACTATGTGGTTATCTGATGGTTTTGGTTTTAAATAATTTGCCTCGCGGTGACATATAGGGCTGTGAAAGACTGAACATAGAAGTTTATCACGAAATCTTGAATTTAGGGAAAATTAAGGCGTCTCAGACTTAGACAAACTGTGATAATTTTGAGACAATATAAACATAGACAATTATTCATAGCTCTGAGACCTAGCCTACTTATATAGATCGCAGCTAAGAAAAATTCTCATTATTCTATAACGAGATAAATTATCCAATGTGTTCCCACTTGAAAAGATTACGGACAGTGCAAATTTAACTTACGGCTATGATTTAAAATCTCGAGCAATAAAAAATTTATATGATTCTAAGATAAATTTTAGAATTATTGGATTTTTTTCACTTAGAAACTCGCGATTTTTAAGGCAAACAAATTAAGAAATTAGCGCGTCCTGGAATAAAGTTCGATAGAATGTATGTTTACAGTCCTAGAAATATTTAAATGCTTCTGAAACATACAAAACATTTCATGATCTTGGGCTTATAGTGTATCTCAAAATTGAGCAGTGGACTATTTTTTCAGCACTTTGAATAAATAGATTTTAGGAATCTTGGCTGGTGGTTGAACAACTAGGGTAGAACGGTACTTCGTCGTAATCGCCCATTTCAGTTCTGTCGATCAGAAAAGATCAATAATATCAATCATTTCACCGTGCACAAATTAATACTAGGTTTGTTCCGATGCGTTAGTTCATTAGTTACCTTCCCCTCACTTCCTATAAAAAAAAATGTTCTTCCGAATTATGAAAACATTAGATTTAATTATGATAAATAGTACTTGTAAGTTATAAGAAGGCATCGTGAAGAATGTGTTTGCTACATAAAACCTGTCAATATTGCTTTCAGTGCGTCACAATCAGCGATTGAACGAATCGTGAGCACTCACTCTGAGTGAACCTTTGCGAATCATAAGATCGCTGATTGTGACGCTCTGAAAGCGAAATTGACAGGTTTTATGATTCAAACACATACTTACGACCTCTTCTTGTAACTAACAAATACTAATTATCATTATAACATCTAATGTTTTCATAATTCGGAAAAACATTTTTTATAGCAAGTGAGTGGAAGTAAGTCTGGGCTCCATCGAATTAACTTTACACAGCCCAGGATTCTTGTTCACTGTACAATACAACTTAAAACTATAGTCAAAAGGTACAACACAATAAACATTTTTTCTTCCACTATCCAATAAGCCTCCTCCATCAGAACGGAAGCCGCTTCCAGTAGTTTCATTGTATGGCAGTATCGCCAACGGGGGGCAGATCGCTTCCATTGCAGCAATGGATGCAAAAAATGGTCAGCTCTCACACATCGATCACGAAACGGTTGTTTTCCAAAGTCGACGACGCATCGACCGAAAGAACTGCTGATGAATAATAATGAGGAGGACCACACAAGCTGCCGAGTAAACAGACCATCACGTGACACACATTGAGAGTGGTCTGCTTCTGTTGACAGCCGAGTGAATACTGATTCCGGCTTGTAAAAAGTACAATTTGATGAGCTTAGAAATGAACTCAAGTGTCCGCAATTTGATCTTTTTTCAATGTTTGGACAAATACTAAACACTAAGACAATCAGGATATTTTTTTAACATTCTGGTCTTTGAAAAAAATATCTAGAGCTTTAAAACTTTCTTTGACCATTTTTCAACAAATTAGGCTTGGAAAACTTTTATGATCACGAAGTAAAAAGTCAGAATATTGGGACCAACATTGTTTTTCGACACCTTAGACAATTTGTGATAAGTCTATGACTAAATATCGAGATCACAAGCAATGGAAAAAATTAAATTTTACATCTGGATGAATTTTGAAGATAACGGACTTGAAACAAATATCTAGATTACGGAGTTTTAAAAATCTTACGGGTTGTTAAAAAAATCTTTCGCATGTTTACTGCAGCGCAGCAAATATAGTGATGCAAATTTAATGCTTGAAATCGAAATAATATCCGAGATACCCTCTAAAAAATTTGAAGTGCTAGTAAAAGTCAGCCATATTGACGGTGATTTGTGCACTCTGTCGTATCACATTAAACAAAGTGGCGCGTGGAATGTGAAACAAAACGACAAAGCGAAAGGACCAAAACAACAGCTCGCTCACATAAAAGTTCCACTCACTCTCTCGTATGAATAGTCACATATCAAAACAAACTCATTACCGTACGAATGGTTTTTGAAAATAGCGATTTTCTGGTAAAATACTTGAGAGAACGACCAAAGTAACGTGTCGAAACCTACTCAACGAACTTATTTCCCGTCAATCACCCCATTTGAGATCAATCACTCCATCACAAATCCTCCACTAACGAACGAAACGAACCATTCGATACGGACTCCCACCCTTCTCGACACAGTTTCACCTGATGGAATCGTCTTCGCCCAATTAAGCACACCCAAACAGAGCTCATTTACGGCTAAATTTCCATCTCTAATTAATGATATTCGCCGTGGAAAAGCGAGATCACCCTGTGAGCTCTCCCTTTCCTCTTTTACCGAACCCATAAAGCAATCAAATTAAATTCACACCTTACCGCTATTATAAATACTGTGTTATTTTACCTTGTACGGGATAGTTTTCGTCGACCTTGATCATCTTGGACCCTTCTTGGTTGTTTACTTTTTTTTATGTTTGTCTTGCCCCGAACGCGCAGAATGCGTCGGTTTTCCACTTGCTTCGCCTCGGCTACTGCGACGACACGTTTCGAAACACGGGACGGAATTTTCCCAGCTGCCACCGAGAGCCAAAGGTCACTTTTCACTTTTCAACACCCGCCACCGCTCGATCGCCTGCTCGGTGTTTTCCCCCGCCTCTGTTGACTACGAAGTCTTCGTCGTCGTCGTCGTCGTCGTCGTCGGTGGTGAAGTTATTTTCTCATTTGAACAGTTTTCCTTTCTTCTACCGCTGTTGGTCATTGAAGTCGTAAATTCCGACTTTTATTATCTTTTCTGAACAAATACACGTTTACCGTTTTGGGTCGAATCAGGACTGTATTCTATTCGTGGTTCGTTTTGAATATCTCACTACTATAGAAATATATGTATGCTTCGAGCATCCACAAAACTGCCCTCACTTGAACAGATGCACCACACTTTCGATGGTCGCTATTGATTTCCTGAACCAGCGATCGACACACAAGCACAGAGGTTCAGCTTCAGTAGTTTCCTACATCAACCATACCAATTCACAACCGCCCCGTCGAAATCACACGCACGAATGGCAACACAGTTCAGAAAAATAAACCGAAAATCGTAAATCCCAATCTGATTAATTGTGATCTTGACAGTTCAGAAAGCGAAGAAATTTGTCGCCAACGATCAAAATGTCTGTCTCGGTCGCCGCAAGATCTGCTGGTAGGACACCGAACGGAAAATTGAAACCGCACGTACTGAAACTGCTGCGTCTGCCGTGGTTGACGTTCGAAAGCCAAATGCGCGAGCGAGATTTCCTCGAAAGAAAGTCGATTCCTGCCAGATATTTTTCGAGAAAATTTCGCTCCGAGGATCGCTCTTCTTCTTCAGTAAATTCTCACACTCTCCACACTCTCCGTTCGGTGATGATTTTTCACGGATACCCTAGCTACTCCCTGGCAGAGCAGGATGATGATTTACTATGCAAATGACCGAGGCACAGTAACCCCCAAAAAGAACGTGATTTGTGTACATTCGGCTGGGTTCCTAAACGATCGAGACTTGGGTGCAAACTGATCTCCTACCAACTACAGCCAAGCACCATCGATCGTAGCTAACGGGCCGGTTGAAACGATTATGGCTAAGGCCCGATTTGGTCATCCCGTCTTGCCCATAGAAGGAACGCCCCAAGGCTGAAAAACAAATATGCGCCAAAAGCGAGTGACGATGCTGGAAAGTGCACAATGTGTAGGACCTACATCTACTTCTATAGGTAAGTAACCAACGATCGACGCAGCAGTTGGCCTTCGCTGGAATGTGTCACGAACTGTGCAGCGCGCGGCGGCTGTTCGAAAGGCATTCAGCAACAGCAGGGATGCGTAATTCTTCTCGCCGTCACAGTGATAGTCGTCGGTCGACGCCGGTCTATATATAGACTGGCTTTTGTGGTGGATAATTTACACGACGGACGCCACAGACTGACGATGGATGGAGACTCGAGAATGCATTACGGAAATTTTGAGTGTGTGTTCGTACGTGAAACAATATAGTGAGGTTTAGAATGTCATTCGGGGCATTGTCCAGGATGTTCTTTTTTATATTTTGCATTGATTTGTACCAGGAATTTTAGGACATTTCAAGACAGAGAAAAAAAATCATATTCTTGATGGAATTTCAATCAATAAAATTTAGATTTAGTTTTGCATGAATTAAAAGAAAGCTCTGATCAAACTACCTATCGGTGAAAAATGCCTTCCTTCTTGTAGTAGACTAAGTGAGAGACTTTTTCATTCTTCAACTATTTTTTTTTTCATGTAAGTTAGAACACAAATTGAGGCTTATATCGAAGACAACAAATCAATTGAATTATTTCAAATAAGACCCTAGGGCCAAAAACTGGAGTACTAGTGCCATAACTGGATCACTTACCATAGTTCTTGGATGAGTTTTTTAATTCCGTTTCCGCACAAGCACAAACGAAGTGACAGACGACTAACTGGCGAAGAAATCAATTAAAATAATGTGGTTCGCTGATGTAATTGAATTTTCTTAGAAGCTTGTGCCACCAGCCACCAGGTGGGCTAGTATTTTTGTTTTGAATTAAACAAAGTTGATTTTGTGTGCAATGATCTTAGACAGGAATGTATCATTTTGTCATTTTTTATGGATTTCAGTTTTGAGTAGAGTGTACTAGAATTTCAGTGGTGCCGGTGGTGTAGTGGTAAGCGTGATTACTTCTCACCCCAGCAGGCCTGGGTTCAATCCCAGTCGGCGCCGCCGGGATGTTCTGAGGCATAACATCTCTGATCATGCCTTCCTTCGGAAGGGAAGTAAAGCCGTTGGTCCCCGGTTCATGAGTGGATGGGTCGAAAGGTAGGGTCCAGGTGTGGGAGCTGCCTCCCTGGCGTCGATAGCATTGGTGCTCAGCACGGAAAACAAGATCGACGGAAAACAAATCAAAGAAAAAAAATACTACTCGGAAAAAAATCCGTTCCCGAAAACGGGAACGGACCGTGAACTAAAAATCACGGCCAGCTATCCAGAACAAAATTTTCTCAAATATACACCGTGAACTATGGTTCACGGCTGTGGTTCACGAATATGGGAACTCTTTTTTTCCCGTGTAGAATTTCGACTAGAATAGGGTACGCTTATTAGATGTAATTGGGACCAAATAGGCTAGTCAAGTAGTGAGCCAATTTAAAAATTGTTAGCTTCCACCGGTTGGTAATATTGCACAACACGCGGACCATTCAACTGTTTGGGTATAATATTGAACTTTTTTTTCTGTATTCGTCAGATTAGTATTTGGTTGTATAACTCATTTTACACGGGACGGAATCCATCTTTGACATAAAGGATGAGACGTAAACAAACGCGTCATGTAAAATTAAGTGCTTCGAGAGTGAAAATTTCGTTACTTGACGAAAAGTACGTTTGATTGAGCTGTATTCCACGTCTGTTATAACTCAATTTTGTGTCAAAATTGACGCTCGTCGAGGGGGACGAAAGTAATCTGTTCTTACTTAAGGCGGCTGCTCGCTTTTGCCTTGACCTGGGCCCAGGTCAGATTTCTATCGACTTGCTTAATTTTCTTATTGAGGCTCCACCGCCATGAGCCCCTGGGTCTGCCTCTGCTGCGATGTCCTGCCGGATTCCAATCCAGCGCTTGCTTGCAGATTTCGTTTCCGCCCCGTCAAAGTGTGTGGCCGACCCACCTCCACTTTCGCTCTCGAATTTCTGTTGCTATCGGCTTCTGATGACATCGACGATGGAGCTCGGCATTCGAGATCCAGTTGTGAGGCCACCAGGCACAAATTATACACCGCATTCATCGGTTGATGAAGACCTGCAGCTTTTGAGTGTTCTCCGCTGATACACCCCACGTCTCGCTAGCGTATAACAACATATTTAGATTTCACGTTCGAATTGAAAATTCGGATTTTGGTGCATTGACTTATCTGGTTGGATCTCCATACGTTTCGTAAACTCGCAAAGGCAGCCCTAGCCTTCTTGATTTGTGCACCTATGTCGCTCTGGGTCCCGCCGTCCGACGCTATTTGGCTGCCAAGATATTGGAAACTTTCGACCTTCTCCACTGCTTGCCCCGCTACCGTAAAGTTGGAAGGGTTGCCCGTGTTGATATCCAACGATTTGGTCTTGTTGACGTTGATGGTGAGACCCGCTGCAGAGGAACGTTCGGCTAGGTAATTGAGCTTACTCTGCATATAAGAGCGCCGTTGTGCTAGTAGAGCAACATCATCAGCCAAATCGAAGTCGTTGAGATGCTCCATGGTGATAGGCTGCCAAAGCAGCCCACGGTTCGGTACACGGTCAATTGCACCTATCATGATCTCGTCGATTACGATGAGAAACAGTAGCGGTGACAGTATACATCCTTGTCTCACACCAGCGACTACCCGGATAGGGTCGGACAGGTTACAGAATAGTTGATGCAACATTTGTGCGGGTAGCATGAGGTCAGCTTTGACCATCTCTGTTGAAATGCGATCGACCCCTGGAGCCTTGTTGGATTTCATGCTTCGGATAGCTGCTTCAATCTCCTGCAGTGATGGGGCCTCGGAATTGACGCGAGTGATGCGCCGCACCCTTGGCGGATCATGCCGAGATGTTGATGGCTGGTTGGCCGTCGAAACTTGAAGAAGTTGTTCGAAGTGCTCAAACCAGCGTTTCAGCTAGTCAGTGGGGTCGGTAAGCAATTGTCCAGTCGTGTCCTTCACTGGAATCCTTGGTTTCATCCTTGCTCCACTCAGGCGTCGTGAGATATCGTAGAGGAGGCGTATATCGCCAGTGTTTGCGGCTTTCTCCCCTTCGTCAGCCAGGGAGTTCACCCACGCTCGCTTGTCCCGTCTGCAAGAGCGCTTGACTTCCTTCTCTAGAGCCGAGTACCGTTGACGGGCTTCGTTCTTGGCTCCTCTGGTTCTCGCCCGCTCTATCGCGGCTTTTGCTTCTCTACGCTCCTCAATCTTCCGCCAGGTTTCATCTGTGATCCACTCTTTCCTCTGGGTGCGCAGCTCACCCAAGTTGTTTTCGCTTGTTTCTATAAAGGCATTCTTGATGGCCGTCCATTGTTCTTCTACGCTGCCACCTTCTGGAACGTCCGCAGCTCGAGTCTCAAGTTCTTCAACAAAAGACCTTTTTACCGCTGGATCTTCAAGTCGGCGTGTGTTGAACCGCCGCCCGAGTCTCTCCTCCCGTCGCTGGATCCGCGCCATGCGTAGGCGGATTTCACCGATTAGAAGGTGATGGTCAGACGCGATGTCGGCGCTGCGCTTATTCCGGACATCAAGAAGGCTCCGTCGCCATTTTCGGCTGATGCAGATGTGGTCGATCTGATTTTCGGTATTTCCATCACGGGAAACCCACGTGACTTTGTGCACTGGCCAATGGGGGAAGAGCGAGCCCCCGATCACCATGTCGTTATTGCCACAAAATTCTGCAAACAGCTCACCGTTCTCGCTCATTTCGCCGAGACCATGGCGTCCCATGACACGCTCATAGTCGGTGTTGTCGGAGCCGATCTTCGCATTGAAGTTGCCAGTGTAGATCTTGATGTCACCCTTTGGAACCTTATCCACGACGGCATTCAGTTGACTGTAAAATTCTCCTTGTCCTGTAGCTCGGCAGCATCGGTTGGCTCATAACATTGGATTATAGTAAGGTTACGAACCCGTGTTCTAAATCTGGCAACGATTATCCTCTCATTAACAGGCTCCCACTTGATGAGCGCAGCACTTGCCTGGACGCTAAGTAGGAGACCAACTCCACGATGGCGGGGAGCGTTTTCACCTCGAATACCAGAGTATAGTAGTACCTGTCCCGACGGCAGTTTGTGTTCTCCAAAGTTTGGGCAACGAACTTCACTCAGTCCCAGGATTTCTAGCTTCATGCGTCGCGCCTCGTTGGCAAGTTGTGCCAGTTTACCCTACTGGGCTAACCTCAATACATTCCATGATCGTATTCCTGTCCGTTGTTTTGCGGTAAAAGTCGTTGCCGTTAAATTAGTTCGATGTCTTTCTCTGTTGGTTTCTTGAACAATTATAAAGGTTTCAGAGACAGTAGGTGGTTAGCCTAAGGTCTCCTATCCGCCGTGATGGGGCTGCCATCTTAGGTGTAGCTTCCGGGGAAGAGCATTTCTTATTCAGCCGCTGGATGCCAGTCAGACGCTGTTTGAGCCGCACCTCCATTGTGAACAGACGCTCGGGTTGGCGAAGCATTTCCTCTATCACCGTGCTATGGTTACCGCGCCAGTGTTTGCGTCGCACGTCCTCACTCTGCTATTGTCGGATTGACAACATTGCCCAGGCTACGCCAACCAGCTGTGTCCATGTTTCAGCTGGCAGTCTTTTGTGATCATATGACTCGTGGAGGCGTGAGGTAGGAACTTGTGAGGACCAGAGCTAGGTATATCGCTCCTTCCAGATTGTCACTCACCATTTTGTAGCCCAAATCTGTTCTACACTTCTATTAACGAATTTCAATAAAATTTGCTTAATGTCTCGAATTTGTTTTTATTAAATCGATTCGTTATGAATTAACGCGCGCCTTTCGAT